GTTAATTCCTAAAACTGAGAGGTTTTGTTTTTGTTTTTGTTTTTTTTTTGAGACAGGGTTTCACTCTGTCCCCCAGGCTGGAGTGCAGTGGTGCAATCACAGCTCACTGCAACCTCCACTTCCCAGGCTCAAGTGATCCTACCTCAGCCTCCTCAGTAGCTGGGACTACAGGCACATGCCACCATGCCCAGCTTTTTTTTTTTTTTTCTTCTAGAGGCCAGGGTTTCACCACGTTGTGCAGGCTGGTCTGGAATTTCTGTGCTCAAGTGATCCTCCTGCCTTGGCCTCCCAACCTATTGGGATTACAGGCATGAGCCACTGCACCTGGCTAGAACGGAGAGATTTAACAAGTCGTGGCCAGGCGTGGTGGCTCGCGCCTGTAATCCCAGCACTTTGGGATGCCGAGGCAGGTGAATCATCTGAGGTCAGGAGTTTGAGACCAGCCTGGCCAACATGGTGAAACCCCATCTTTACTAAAAATACAAAAATTAGCCAAGTGTGGTGGCAGGCGCCTGTAGTCCCAGCTACTCCGGAGGCTGAGGCAGGAGAATTGCTTGAATCCAGGAGGTGGAGGTTGCAGTGAACCAAGATCACACCATTGCACTCCAGCCTGGGTAACAAGAGTGAAACTCTGTCTCAAAAAAACAAACAAACAAGTTGCTTTAAGTCACTCAGCTTGGGGCTGCTTGGTTGTGCCACAAGAGATGAGTGGAACAATGGATGAGACTGATGTCCTCTGCTACCCAATGACTGGTGACCATGAGCTTCCTGGGTCTGTAATCCCATCAGCTGTCCATCCCTTACCCTGGAGGGGTAGCGGATTTATTCTTTGGGTAGACACAGGTGAAGCGTTTTTTTTTTTTTTCCTCGATGAAAAATTGCCACATGCTTTTGAGGCCCTGGATGGTTCAACCAGGTTGGCGACTGCTAACGAGGGTGAAGATCTATATTCAGTCCATCTGGCACATGTGCAAAAGACCATTCTTCAACCCCAGGTCATGACTACAAATGGCTGGCTCTCAGCTGGACAAACATACATCCCGATGAGAAGATACGGTTGGTTCATCACAACCTATCTCTTATTTCACAATAGTAATAGTAATCATTATAGCTACCATTTATTAAGCCTTCACCATGGGGCTGTAAGTCTTCATTGCTTAGCTTTACTAATGTGTTTGCTTATCTCATGGATTTCTCTTAACCATTCCCTGAGATCCCCCTACAGTTCTTATCCGTTTACCCCCATTTTACAGAAGAGGAAAACTGAGGCTCAGAGAAGTGGAGTCATTTGGCCATAGTCACACAGTTGGAAAGTGGTAGAGCCAGGATGAGACGCTAGTTCTGACTCCAAAGCTAGTTATATGTAGTAATAGCACCCAAGTAATGTATAGATTACCATGCTTTCACATATGGCAAATTAAGGAATCAGAATGGATGATGCATGCGGCCCAAGCTGGACAGAGGATATGCCAGGGCACAAGTGACGGCTGACCCACTGCTCCACGGAACCCCCAAGAAAGGCTCCTGATTTCACAGTGAGATTAAAATTCTGCCCAAATCAGGGTACATGGGTGGAATTAATCAAAAAAGTTAATATGTATGCTTTTCACCCTAGCAATTCTACTTCTCATTTTGCAGAGACTCACTCATATAGTGGCACCAAGAGGTTATATGTGCAGGAGAACGTCCACTGCAGCTTTGCCAGTAGCGATGAAAACTGCTAACAGCCTAAGGGCCTAGCCAAAGTGGAATGCTCAAAAAACATGATTTGCTCAGCCGGGCATGGTGGCTCACGCCTGTAATCCCAGCACTTTGGGAGGCCGAGGCGGGCGGATCACGAGGTCAGGAGATCGAGACCATCCTGGCTGACACGGTGAAACCCTGTCTCTATTAAAAATACAAAAAATTAACCGGGCGTGGTGGCGGATGCCTGTGGTCCCAGCTACTCAGGGGGATGAGGTAGGAGAATGGTGGAAACCTGGGAGGAGCTTGCAGTGAGCCGAGATTGCGCCACTGCACTCCAGCCTGGGGGACAGAGCGAGACTCTGTCTCAAAAAAAAAAAAAAAAAAGATGGTTTGCTCTAGAACAGGCAGCTGGTAAAAGGCATGGTGTTAGATCAGCACATGATCACTTCAGAAACGCTCCAGGAGCCAGGTGCTGTGGCTCACGCCTGTAATCCCAACACTTTGAGAGGCTGAGGCAGGATTGCTTGAGCCCAGGAGTTTGAGACCAGCCTGGGCAACATAGTAATTCCCCTCTTTACAAAAAATAGAAAGTTAGCCCGGTGTCATGGTCCAGCCACTCAGGAGGCTGAGGTGAAAGGACTGCTTGAGCCCAGGAGTTAGAGGTTGCAGTGAGCTGTGTTTGTGCCACTGCACTGCAGCCTGAGCAACAAAGCGGGACTCTGTCTCCAAAACAAACAAACAAACAAACAATCTTGCAGAACAATTGGTTAAATTACATTTTGGAATAACCTATTCAAAATGTTTTTTTCATACATCTTTAAGATGATAATATTTATATGTTCAAAAATTTAAAGTCTGGAAGACTATGTACAAACAAAATGGTAGCATTACCTTTAGGGAAGAAAGGAGATACTGAGAGGAGGTACAAATAGAGCCCCTTGCCTTCTTACCAGGAATTCTGATTGTCCCATGTTTTACAATATATTCATGTAGTACTCTAAACAAAATCTTTTCAGATCAAATCAGAGGAGATGAAATGAGAGTGGATTCTGAGCCTAGTTTTTTTCAGGGAACAAGACCCAGTGCTACCACTTGGGGGCTAGAAACAGAAATTTTATTTATTTTATTTTTGAGATGGAGTCTCACTCTGTTGCCCAGGCTAGCATGATCTTGGCTCACTGCAACCTCTGCCTCCTGGGTTCAAGCAATTCTCCTGCCTCAGACTCTCAAGTAGCTGCAACTACAGGCATGCACCACCACGTCCAGCTAATTTTTGTATTTTTAGTAGATGGGGTTTTGCTACATTGGCCAGGCTGGTCTTGAACTCCTGACCTCAGGTTATCTGCCCACCTTGGCCTCCCAAAGTGCTGGGATTACAAGCATGAGCCACGGGGCCCAGCCTCTTTATTTTCTTTCAGTGTTTTCCCAGGAAGCTCTCTGAATATCCAGGGTCTTCATGGATGGACTTCTCATAAAAGGTAATTCCTGGAATCAGACATAAATTTTTTTTTTTGGTGTGTGTGGGGGAGGGGATGCACAGCTGTCACCAGATTCTCAAAGGGACAGCATCACACTTAACAGAGCAAGGAGAGTAATCAGTGATTGGTGAATGATCATTTATCAGAGACTGTGTGTCAAAATTTAAAAAATAAGAAGTAACTGCTGAAGAAATGAACAAAAAGGGTCACACCTTCAAAAAAGCCTAATTACCATTCCAGAGCAGTCTCAAGACAGAGAGATAAGAGCTGCTTCACAGTGAGGGCTTATCTGGTACCAAGGACCACCACCAACGTCATCCATTAGCCATCCCCAATAAAACCATGAAGTTCAGCCTGGATAGCATAGAGAGACCTCGTCTCTACAAAAAAAAAAGATAAAGTAAAAATAAAAATAAAAAGTAGCCAGGTGTGGTGGCACATGCCTGTAGTCCCAGCTACTCAGGAGGCTAAGGTGGGAGGATCACTTGACCCTAGGAGACTGAGGCTGCAGTGAGCTATGATCACACCACTGTACTCTAGCCTGAGTGACAGAGCGAGATTCTGTCTGAACACACACAGACACACACACACACACACTACGAACTTTTAACTTCCCCATTTTACAGATGAAGAGACAAAAAGTCTCAAGCCATACAGCCAGGAGGTCAGACTGACTCCAAAAACCCATGCTCCAAGCCACAATAAGTCACTGCCTTCCAGAAGCCTCATATTATCATGAGATAATAAGGCAAGGAGGTATGGGTAAAACACCTTAACCCTTAAAGATACAAACTTATTGTAGGCCTAGTTGGTCCCTCAGCATTTGGTGACTGCTATAAAGGGTTAACTCAGCAGGCCTGAAGTGTCCAAACCCAGCACATCTCAAAGAAAAAACTGGCCTTAATGGGCTCCTGAGGGATAACCTCTAAGTCCTTAGAATATCCTCCCAAATAGGGGTGTCTTTATATACCTCAGGCCTTGGGCCATACCAGGCCAGATAGTTTGTGCTCATAATGTGGTTTACGGTGGGGACCTTGGGCCATGCTGTATCATTTTGACCTCTGGAGCGGCTGGTGATTACGTAACTAAAGGAAGTCATGTGATTGCCCCATGTGACTGACATGCAATTAAAAAGCTAGACCCCAAGGCTAGGGTGAGCTTTCTGGCTGGTAATATTTAGTATGTGGTGAAACATATCATTACTGGGAAAATTAAGCGTGTCTGTAAGACTCTACTGGGAGAGGATAACTGGAAGCTTGAGGCTGGTCTCTCCTGGACTCTGCCCCGTGCAACTTTTTCTCTTGCTGATTTTATTTTGAGATGGCGTCTTGCTCTGTCACCCAGGCTGGAGTAAAATGGCACGATCTCAGCTCACTGCAACCTCCACCTCCCAGGTTCAGGCGATTCTCCTGCCTCAGCCGCCTGAGTGGCTGGGATTACAGGTGCCCACCACCACGCCCAGCTAATTTTTGTATTTTTAGTAGAGACGGAGTTTTACCATGTTGGCCAGGCTGGTCTTGAACTCCTGACCTCAGGTGATCCTCCTGCCTCTGCCTCCCAAAGTGCTGTGATTGCAGGCATGAGCCACTGCACCCAGCCTGTTTTACTGATTTTAATGTGTATCCTTTTGCTGTAATACACCATAACCATGAGGATAACAGCTCTTCTGAATTCTGAGTTCTAGCCAATCATCGATTCTGGGGGTGGCCTTGGGGACCCCAACACAAGAATTCGGCTGTGCCTTACATGCACCTATATTCTCCAGCTTTTTGCTCATCACAAATCTCCCTGACAAAATCCAGTATGGAAAGAAAAAAAACACCCCTATTCATTCAGTAAAGTAAGGCATAAACAAATGAGCCCCTGTTCACTTTATTCAAAGAGTATTTTTTTTTCTCTGTGAAACTAGGTAGAACTGAGGAGGAATCAAAGAAAGCCTCATATATTAAATTCTTAAATAGATTCTTTGAATTCAAAGTAAGGGTCAATAGGAGAGGCACAGTTTGTGGGCCTTGTCCCAGCAAACAAAGCCACCAAGGCAGTCCTGCAAATTAAGGAGGATGGCAAATCTGTCTGTTAAAAAAAAGTTCTTGAGGGGAAAAATATAAAATACCTAAGTTTCAAAAGCCGGACTACTTCCATACCCTTCATTCTCTACCCTGGCGTGTCCAAAGATAGAGAGTTTCAAGGTACGTTTTCAATGATTCAGCTTTTGCAAACATATGCAAATACATTCCTCATCAGCAGTCCTGTTTTGGCGATTAATAGCAAGCAATATGCTTGGATTAGAGGTCCGATTTCCACTTAAATGCAGTTTCTTCTCTTCTTGGCAATGAAGTTCATTTGCAGAGATCTGAAAGGGGGGAAGACTGTGTTAGACTCAGAGTAACAATTCTGAAATAGATCATTTATATTTATACATGTGATTGCAGAACATACTGTCTTCATCCATTCGCATAAGCATGTAAGGTTTTACGAATGCATCCCAGATGGCCAGAGAGAGTTTAAATTTAAAAACGTTTCCTGGGTTCTTCCCCACATCTCATCTTGCATCCACTGGACCTCAAATATACACTTTTCTTATGGATACAGAGTAAATGACAGTGATTATGTGATAAATACTGATGAATTCTTGGAGGCAAGGGCAGGATTCAGGTTTGTTCAAGACCAGCTCTGTATCCAGGATCAGCTAAAGCGCCGTGTATATGGTATCTCATTTAAACAGTAAAACAAGTAACAAATCTGCCTTTGTCAATGAGAAGGTCCAGGAGTCTACTGATAGGGAGGAAAGCTGTTTTTCATGACAGGGTTCTTTTTTGGAATAGAACTATGGGATGTTGGGTGGGCGCAGTGGCTCATGCCTGTAATCCCAGCACTTTGGGAGGCTGAGGCAGGCAGATCACTTGAGACCAGGAGTTCGAGACCAGCCTGGCCAACATGGTGAAACCCCATCTCTACTAAAAATACAAAAATTAACTGGGTGTGGTGGCGCACACTTGTAATCCCAGCTACTTGGAAGGCTGAGGCATGAGACTCACTTGAACCCCAGAAGGTGGAGATTGCAGTGAGCCGAGATCATGCCACTGCACTCCAGCCTGGGCAACAGGGTGAGACTGTCTCAAAAAAAAAAAAAAAAAACACCCATAAAACAAAAACTCTGGGATCTTAGTGCAACTCAAGATGGGAACCCTGATAATGACAGAGTCCTTGCAGATTGGAGCAAAGTAAATTGAAAGAAAAACTAAAACACATGCCAATTGTTTAAAAATAGATGAAGAGACTAAAAATAAGAGTCCAAGCTGGAAGCTGTGTTTCAATGTAAAATAACCTCTCTTGAGGTTTTCTTGAACCTGATCATAGAGGCTGGGGGACAGAAGGAAGTGAGCTCACTCATGCAGCCTTAACTCCAGTGCCCAAGTCCACAGCGAGGGCCCAGCACTTCACAGTTTCCAAGCACTCCCACCTGGGCCAGCTCACGCCATCTTATGGCCAACCTCAGAGGTGGGCAGTGATGAATCCCCATTCTCCAGATGAAGAAAACAGGGGCTGAAGGAAGTTAAACCTGGAGTTCTTAAATCTTTGAATTGCCAAGTTCAAAAAATCCCTTTCCCCACCCCTTAGTAGAATATGGATGGATAAATGTGCACTTAAAATCATTCACTAGAAGCAAACCTGGGAGGAAGTCTGTCCCTTGATGGCTGTGTAGCCTTGGGCAAGTCAAAGCCCTTCTCTGTGCTTTGGTTTTCTCTTCTGTAAAATGGAATGATCATGTCATCTGCCTCCCAAGGATGCTGAGGGTTAAATGAGTAACACAGGACCAGTACCTGGCCCAATGGCCATGGGGGTTATTCTTAGAACATAACTGCTTGTGACTGTTATTAGAACATTAATTGCTGTGGCCCAACGCTGATGCTGTTTGTAGAAGCCAGACTGGCAGACAGCATTCTGTGCAGAAATGGTTCCGGAATCTCCCCGTCCCCCATCATAGGGGTCCTTCCTGCCCCGTCCCCAGTGTCAGACAAACCTTTTTCTGGTTGGTTCAGTGTTAATCCCTCTCCCTGTCCTTGATCCAGAGCTAGAAGACTAAGCCTTGATTCTATAAATAGCATCCCCAGTCTGTCACCATGGAAACCTCCGATGGGGCTGGGTCAGCCCACCCTAGTGGACATGACTCCCCCAGGGAGGGTCTGGAAGGACAGAAAAGTGGCTTTTCAGAAAAGTGACTCTGGGGCCACCCAGAAGCAGCGGGAACCCCCAGTGAAGTCCACAGGCTTACCTGGAAATCACGAGCTTCCTAAGTGGGAGGAGGTGCTGTTCTGGTTCACCTGGAGAAAGACAATACACAGAGGAAGGGGTCACAGCCAGGTGGGGGATGCCTCACTGTCTTGAGGGTCACCCCTCAGCATCACTGAGGCATGCACATGTTTACTCATGGAGTATTTACTGTACATCTACTATGTGCCATGTGCTGGGATAGCGTGTGAGTGTGACAGACCCAAACCTAGGATCACGGAACTTACATTCAAGTTGGAGAAAAAGCGTATTGAACATGCACAGATGCAAGATAATGTCAAACCTGCGCAATGTGACAGGCTGCTATGAGTGATCAGTATCTGTGCTATTTCAAAAACGGTGGCCAGGAAAGGACTCTACATGATGGCATTTCAGCTGTGGTGTAATAATAAATATTTGGTCACTGTCCCCAGTTCCTGGCACACAGCTCCCCAAACCCTTGGAATCTCTGAAGGAATAAGGGTATCTTGGCTGGGTGCCGTGGCTCACACCCGTAATCCCAGAGCTTTGGCAGGCTGAGGTGGGTGGATCACTTGAGGTCAGGAGTTCGAGACCAGACTGGCCAACATGGAGAAACCCTTTCTCTACTAAAAGTACAAAAATTAGCCAGGCATGGTGGCCAGTGCCCATAATCCCAGCTACTTGAGAGGCTGAGGCAGAAGAATTGCTTGAACCTGGGAGGCAGAGGCTGCAGTGAGCCGAGACTGTACCACTGCACTCCAGCCTGGGCAACAAGAGGAAAACTCCATCTCAAAAACAAAAAACAAACAAACAAAAAGGGTTAGGGCAGTTTATACTTCCCTGCAGTGTATGACATATACAAGATGTCTAGCTGACCTGGGACTGGTTTTTGTTGCTTTTAGGAACAAAATACGAAGGAACGGCATACCCCCACGCTCAGGAGGGCTGCCTTGCAGGTAAGTTGTGTCAAGCCTCTATTTCCAACCCTCATCTCCCTACTGTCCTCCACTGTGCACATAATGTCATTCTGGATGTCATAAAAACTGGAAATGGTCTTGAAGAAGCTGTGTAGTAAATGGTAGCACATGCATTCCACAGAATGCTACGTAGCCGTCCAAAATGGTGCCGGTGAAACTCAAAAGATAGGAAAATATTAAGAAAGCAAAACAAGGCAGCTTGAACATTAAAATGGTAATGAATATTCCTGTAAATCACATTGGGATAGAAACAAACAAAAATATAATTGCAACGAATGCAAAAGTGCATATGCATTCCAGAGGTTTCGGCCACCCTCCCCGCTTTCAGGTGTTCACGGTTCCCTCTGCTGGGAAGCCTTTTCTATCCAAAGCTTTGTGTGGCAGACCTAGTTTTAATCTTTCAGATATTGGCTTATGGGTGTTTTCCAATATCAGTGACCAATTCTGATTATCTGGATACCAATTGGGCGTTCAACAATTCAGTTCAGTTCTGACACCGACTCCCAGACTTAGTTAGCATCAGCTGCCATAGATTAAGGGCTCAGTTCCCAAACTGCCCTACTTTAGATGCCAGCTGCAATGGGGTTCGCAGGCTATCCACACTTCTTCCCAGCCAACTACTGATCTGGAGGTTCCCACAACCCCCACTCTGGTTTGATAATTCACTAGAACAGCTCACAGGACACAGGAGCACACTTTACTAACTGCTACCTGTTTATTATAAATAATACAACTCAAGCTTGGGCAACATGCCAAAACCCCGTCTCTACAAAAAAAATACAAAAATTAACCGGGCATGGTGGTGTGTCTGTAGTCCCAGCTACTTGGGAGGCTGAGGTGGGAGGATTGCTTGAACCCAGGAGAAGGAGGCTGCAGCGTGCCATGATCACACCACTGGAATATTCCAGTCTCAAAAAAAAAAAGGAAAGAAAAGAAAGAAAGCCCAAGAAAAAAGTCCCCACAAAGTCCCTCCAACTGCATTCAAGCCAGAAGACGTAGTGAAAGGCCACTCCCTGGCAGAAGGGCCACTGAGATGTGGCCCCAGCCGGATCAGTGCTTAGAGACCCTCTGGTCCAGCCCGCATCACCACAGTCCCCCCTTTTTTTTTTGAGATAGAGTTTCGCTCTGTTGCCCAGGCTGGAGAGTGCAGTGGTGTGATCTCAGGTCACTGCAACCTCTGCCTCCTGGCTTCAAGCGATTCTCCTGCCTCAGCCTCCCGAGTAGCTGAGATTACAGGTGTGCGCCACCACGCCTGGATAATTTTTGTATTTTTAGTAGAGATGGGGTTTCACCATGTTGGTCAGGCTGGTCTTGAACTCCTGACCTTGTGATCCACCTGCCTCAGCCTCCCAAAGTGGTGGGATTACAGGCAGCCAGCCCGCATCCCCCTTTTTAAAATGGGAAAACCATTAACCCAGAGTAGAGAAGTGACACATCCAAGGGCATACAGCCAGCTGCAGGTATAGCTAAGAAAGACAGAATTCGGAATTCTCCTTGGGGTTTCTAACCTGAAAATATCCTTTCAGATTGGCTGGTGTTTTATAATCCCCTTTCAAGACCTAAGGAAGAGAAAAAGAAGTATCACTATTATGAAAATGACCAAAAAATAAAATGTTGTCATTCCCAACACATCTAGTCATCCACCCATCCACCTCGCCACCCACCCATCCCTCCATCCATCAACCATTGATTAAGCTCCTCTTCTTCCAGGTATTATTCTATGCATTGTGTCTGGTTGACACAACGTTAACCAATAATTGAAATTCCTGTTTCCCTAGAGCTACCGTTCTAGAGGAGGCACCAGATGAACACGCAAGAAACAATAAACACAAATAAACAAGGACATAGCAAACCATGGGAACTGTTGTGAAGAAAGTACAGTCAAGAGGTGTGATTAGGAGTAACCAGGGGGCTTCTTTTGAGTGGATGGTCAAGAAGGGACTCATGTCAGGCGCAGTGACTCACGCCTGTAATCCCAGCACTGCTGGAGGCCAAGGCAGGAGGATCACCTGAGTCCAGGAGTTTGAGACCAGCCTGGGAAACACAGCAAAACCCCATCTCTACAAAAATTAAAAATTAGCTGGGCGTGGTGGCATGCACTTATAGTCCCAGCTACTCTGGAGCTACTGCAGCCTTGGTTGCAGGATTGGTTGAGCCCGGGAGGTTGAGGCTGTGGTGAAGCATGATCACATCACTCCACTCCAACCTGAGTGACAGAGCGAGACCCTGTCTCTAAGAAAATGAATAAATAAAAATAAAAAGGGCCTCTTGAAATAGATAACCTTTGAGTTGAGACCCAAAGGACAAGGAAAAATAGGTAGGCTAAGCTCAGAAAAAGCCCTCCAGGCAGAGGCAACAGAGCAAAGGCCCTGAAGTTAGAACCAGAACATTTCAGGCCTTTCCGCTAGTAGTCATGTTTAAAAATAAAATGAAACAAGGGAAATTAATTCTAACAATATCTTTTATTTAATTTGATATAGCTTTTTTTTTTTTTTTTTTTTTTGAGACAGGGTCTCACTCCCATAGCCCAGGCTGGAGTGCAGTAGTGCAATCACGGCTCAATGCAGCCTCCACTTCCCAGCCTCAGGTGATTCTCCCACCTCAGCCTCCTGAGTAGCTGTGACTACAGGCACGCGCCACTATGTCCAGCTAATTTTCTGTATTTTTAGTAGAGACGAGGTTTCACCGTGTTACCCAGGATGGTCTCAAACTCCTAGGCTCAAGCCATCTGCCTGCCTTGGCCTCCAAAAGTGCTAGGATTATAGACATGAACCATCATGTCCAGCCTATGTAATATATGAACATCTCAATGTGTAATTCACATAAAAGTGACTAATGAGAAACATTACATACTTGTTTTTTTGTCCTAAGCCTTCAAAATCTAGTGTGTATTTTACACTAACTGTACCTCTCACTTTGGACTAGCCTCCCTTTACAGGATCAGTGGCCACACATGGCTAGTGGCTACCATATGGGCAGTGCAGGCAGAGACGATTTCATCAGCATAGATGTCCTTTTAGCCACTGCGTTTACTGAGTCCCAGGATCCATTATTGGAACACACAGGGTCCACAGCACACACAGAAGCACACAGGCATGCATGCACACTCACAGGGCTTAGTGAGAGGACTTATCTTCGCAGTAACAGCCAAGCTATGGCAAAAACTAAACCAGGGATCTAGCACTTGCCAAGACGTGTTGACCGCCCCAGGCAAGAAACCTCTTGGGATGAAAGTGAGAGACAGCTTCTAGTTTAAATAAACAAACACAAAAAGCTCCAAACAGTTGATGTTAACCACCAGTGCTCATGAAAATTATTTATATTTTATAAAATACATAAAGTCAGGCCTTACTCTAGGCTGAACTTCTGACCCATAGCCTGGGGCAAGCCAGGGGCAGCCAGCCACCTTTTAAGGAGACCCCAGAGGAGCCACTGCTGGGCCCTTGGCTGAGAACAGTGAAGTAAGCAACACCCAGCCCACTACTGCAGTGTCCCCAGCCGGTCCTCGCCTCTGCTTCTGAGAAGCACCTGGGGCTGGATTGTGAGATCACTACCGTCTTCTTTTTAATCCAGTTAATTAATATTTCATTATGATAATACATGTACAACCCACAGGTAGATAAAAGTATGTAAAACACATAAGTAGGCTTTAAAGATTACTATTATTAAGGAATAATAACAAAATAAAAATTAACAATAATATTTATAATAAAAAAAACAAACCACATCTGGGTTGCAGCCATTCACCTGTCAGTGTTGGCTGGGTACGTACATTGAATCTCTGAGTATTTCCGTAAATAGATGTCTGCAAAATCAACTAATGTCAAGAGGAAGAGGAACTCACGAGACCCACAGACAAAGCTTACCCTTCAATTACAAGGGCACAGCCCCCAAAGCTCAGTGTTAGTAAATTCTCTTTGTTAAAGAGAGGTGAGCGAGTGTTGGAGAGGCAGGCGCTAATGACTTACTAGCACCAAATAGAAACTATCTCGTTGAGCCAACTGAAGGGTTACGGAACTAAGAGATGATTAACTTTTTTCCATTGTGATTCAATACAAGAACTGTTCACTTCCTAAAATCAGCACATGCTCAGAAATGCTGAGCTTAGCTTAAAGACTCTGGGTCTTAATGATGTAAGGGCTCTGAAAGCTCTTCCTCAGGCCTCGGCCCCGTTTTCAAATATTTGCCTATAAGGAAGTTAGAACACAGAACTTCAAGTAAACTAGAAGCTGTAACGGCAATGCATACATAAGGCCATCAGCGTGCTAACTGTTCTTTTACCCAGTGGGTGTTAGCCTACTTTAACACTTCAAAAGCATTTTGTCAGTCACTAGAGGCTCACACCTGTAATCTCAGCACTTTGGGAGAGTGAAGCAGGGGGATCCCTTACGGCCAGGAGTTCTAGACCAGCCTGGGCAACACAGCGAGACCCCGCCTTTATAAAAAATAAAATCAGCTGTGCATGGTGGCGTGCACCTGTAGTCCTAGCTACTCAGGAGCCTGGGGTGAAAGGACAGCTTAAGCCCAGAAGTGTGGGGCTGCAGTAGCTATAACTGCACCAATGCACCCAGCTTGGGCAACAGAGCAAGACCATGTCTCAAACAAAACAATACAAAACAAAAAAGTCATTTCCCTTCACCACCTTAACCAAGGACAATTTTAAACGTAATGTAAACAGCCCTAAACTCACATTTGTCTGAGAAATCAACATTAAACCTTATAAGGCAAGAAAGGGACCAACAGCTTATTTATATATACCCCCTGTCAACAAAGACTTGAGGTGCTTTACAAACAGGTAAACAAATAGCCAGGGAAATAGGGGTAAAAGTGTAAATAAAATTAGAGAAATAAGATGAAATTAGTGTACAAGCTGGCCTGCTGTTAGAGTATGAGAGTTAGGCTACCAGTTGACTTTGAGCTTCCCTGTAGCCCAAGCAAAACGGAAATCCAAGCAATCATGCAGTTCACCGTGTCCATCAGATAGAAACAAATCAGATGACCAGGAATCAAGAGACTGAACATTTCCTCAGGTGGCTGGAGCTTCCACATCTGCAAAAGCCCCAGATCCCCAAGAGCACACTTCCGCAAGTACAGGTGCACACTCACCCGCTGTGTGTTATTGACGACGATGGGGTCAGGGTTGCCGTAGTTGGGGGGGTTTGCATAAGGGTCATAGCCGAGCTGAGCCAGCATGGGGGCGATCTGGGCCATGTCCCGCACCACGTCCCCAGGGATGTGGCCAGTCCACTTGGAGAGCGCTTCCAGGTTAACAGGCTTGATGACCTGGTCCGTGGACCGCTCGATCCTGGGGAGAGAGAAGAGGCTGGAGAGGGCAGGGCAGACCCAGATGGTGCCTGAGCGGGTTCTCTGCTCAGCCATTCTGGGGCAACAGGAAAGACTGGAGAAACTTGGCCTCCACCTAGCTGTGCCCCATCAACTGTGAGACAGCAGGTGAGTCATTTTTGCCTCCTCATACCTCCTCTGTACAATGGGAACACAGCATGCAGTGAGAAGTCAGAAGAAAGTACTAGCAGTATACACCATGGGTATATACATTCTGCTTTCTTGACTTCTCCAGCTTAAAAAATAACAACAGTTTAGGTCAGGCACAATGGCTCGCACCTGTGATCCCAGCACTTCAGGAGGCCAAGGCAGAAGGATCACTTGAGCTCAGGAGTTTGACACCAACTTGGGCAACATGGTGAAACCCCATTACAAAAATAAGCTGGGCATGGTAACAAGCGCCTGTAGTCCCAGCTGCTCAGGAGGCTGAGATGGGAGAATTGCTTGAGCCCGGGAGGTTGAGGAAGCAGTGAGCCTGAGCTGTGACTGTACCACTGTACTCCAGACTGGGCAACAGAGCAAGACCCCGTCCCCCGCCCCCGCCAAAAAAGAAAATTTTTTTTTTTTTTTTTTGAGACGGAGTCTCGCTCTGTAGCCCAGGCTGGAGTGCAGTGGCCAGATTTCAGCTCACTGCAAGCTCCGCCTCCCGGGTTCACGCCATTCTCCGGCCTCAGCCTCCCGAGTAGCTGGGACTACAGGCGCCCGCCACCTCGCCCGGCTAGTTTTTTGTATTTCTTAGTACAGACGGGGTTTCACCATGTTAGCCAGGATGGTCTCGATCTCCTGACCTCGTGATCCACCCGTCTCGGCCTCCCAAAGTGCTGGGATTACAGGCTTGAGCCACCGCGCCCGGCCAAAAAGAAAATATTTTGTACCTAAAAAAAGTAATAAAACACTAATGATAAAGCTAAAAGCCAATGTGTTCATCACTGCCAGTCCATCCGCTTCCTACAGGTACTCAGCCTTTGCACTGTGGAGCACACCACTCTCCGTAACCTTTTCCTGTAGGTGGATAAGAGCAGACCAGGGAGCCAGACTGCCTGGGTTCAAATGCCAGCTGTTCCCCAGCTGTGTGGCCTTGGGAAAGTTACTTCACCTCTCTGAGCCTCAGTTTCCTCTTCTGTAATTGGCAATGATAACAGTACCTACCTCACTGGGGTGCTCTGAAGAGTAAATGAGTTAATACAAAGGAAGTGCTTAGAAAAGCATAGGCACATTCTAAGTTCTTTTTTCTTTTTTGAGACAGAGTCTCACTGTGTTGGCCAGGCTGGAGTGCAGTGGTACGATCTCGGCTCACTGCAACCTCCGCCTCCTGGGTTCAAACGATTCTCCTGCCTCAGTCTCCCAAGTAGCTGGAACTACAGGCGTGCACCACCATGCCCAGTTAATTTCTGTATTTTTAGTATAGACGGGGTTTCACCATGTTGGCCAGGTTGGTCTCAAACTCCTGACCTCAAGTGATCGGCCCACCTCAGCCTCCCAAAGTGCTGGGATTCCAGACATGAGCCACTGTGCCCAGTCAACACATTGTAAATTCTTAATAAGGGTTAGCATGCTCTCTCGTGCTCGCTCTCTCTCTCTCTCACACACACACACACACACGTCTGCAGCTGTAAAACAAATACGCTATAGTTTTTTTCGCCACTCAGTACCCCATTCTTTTTGCCAGCTGTGTAGCCTTCCTCCATCACTTATTTTTCCATTCCCCTAAAGACAGACATTTTGGTTGTTTCCAACTTTTTGCTGCTACCATGGAATAACCATCATCTTCCACCTGCTTCCTAAACTCTTCCCAAGCCACCGGAATGACGTGGATCTTACCAATTATAACTCAGGGGCCTGACAGGATGAATGGTGGGGAACCCCCAGGATCAAGGGCCTAGTTCTAAATGCTTTCATCCCAACTAAGAGGTGACTTGGGAAAGAAGAACAGAATGAGGCAGCGAAAGGAAGACCAGACTGGGCGTGAGGTGAAGAGAATGGGGGAAGGTGAAAGGGTGTGGACTGGTGGGTAGAACACAGATTCAGAGGCTGCAAACCTGGATTTAAATCTTAACTCTACCCAATATCTCAAAAATCTCGAGTATGTGCATGGCTTTTGCCAAAATCCTTGTGTCTCTAGGACTTTATGGTGCAGAAATGAGGTGGACACATCCCAGAACATGAATGAGGGCAATGCTTGATACACATCAGTAAAACTGGAAATAAATGAAGTGTCCAACAATAGGGAATGTGAAGTTGAATATGGCAATCCCTGTAGCAGCCTGTTGCACAGCTATTCAAAATGATGCTGCAGGCCAGGCGCAGTGGCTCACGCCTGTAATCCTAGCACTTGGGGAGGCCGAGGCAGGCAGATCACCTGAGGTCTGGAGTTCGAGACCAGCCTGGTCAACATGGCAAAACCCCATCTCTACTAAAAATATAAAAATTAGCAGGGTGTGGTGGCGGGTGCCTGTAATCCCAGCTATTCTGGAGGCTGAGGCAGGGAGAACTGCTTGAACCCGGGAGGTGGAGGTTGCAGTGAGCTGAGATCACGCCACTACATTCCAGCCTGGGTGACAGCGAGACTCTGTGATGACAACAACAACAACAACAACAAATGCTGCTGCCGAAGAGTGCTGGCTACCACTGGCAAGGGCTCCCACACCACCATGGAAAAAGGCTACAGAGGAGGATGTTTCATTGGCCTCCAGTTTCATCAACAGGCCCTGAAAATGGTGCAGCAGGCCACGCATCAAGATCTGGGTGGTGAGATCATGGCTTGTTTCTCCTTTCTTCTTTGGTGTATCTTTTCTAATTTTCTACAGTAAAGATGTATTACTTTGGTAACCTAATATTTTTGTCATAATAATTTATAAAATCCTAGCTCCAGCATCAACTGGCTGGGGTACCTGGCATGTAGGAACTTCATTGCAAGGGGAGAGCAGCTGCGAGACTCTAGCTCTGCTCTGGGCCTGGCAGGGGCCCAGCAGGACCAGCCATGGGGAAGAACCACCCTTTCGCTGAGCTCTCAGGATATCCAGAGCCTGATCAGGATGGGAAAGCGTGGAAACTGCATACTCTGCTCCAGCATTGTTCAAAGTGCTCTGGGTCTCAGGATAGGGACAGCAGCTTTTCCAATGGAAGAAGGCAGGGAGGAAGGGACAGAGGGAGGAAGGAAAGGAAAGGATGAGGGGGAGGGAGTGAAGGGGAGGATGGGAGGAGTTCTGGACATGGAGAGTTTAAGAACACAATAGGTCAGGCACCTGTAATCCCAGCACTTGGGAGGTCAAGACAGGAGGATGGCTTGAGCTCAGGAGTTGGAGACCAGCCTGGAAGACTTACTGAGATCTCATCTCTACTAGAAAAAAAAAAAATGAGCTAGGTGTGGAGGTGCTTGCCTGTAGTCCCAACTACTCAGAAGACTGAGGCGGGAGATAGCTTGAGCCCAAAAGGCCGAGGCTGCAGTGAGCTGGGATCGTGCCGCTGCACTCCAGCCTGGGCAACAGAATAAAACCCTGTCTCAAAAAAACAAAAACAAAAACAATCCCAAAAAACAGACCTGGGTTCCAATCCCAGCACCATGCTTTGTTAGCTGTGTAGCCTGAGGCCAGTAACTTCTCCTCTGTGAGATTCAATTTTTCGGTCTATAAAATGGGGCTAAGAGGTGTTCCTATGTCTTCAGGTTGGTGTAAGGATTAAAGGAGATAAACTTATTGGGGGCTTAACCCAATACTTGCCATACAGTAGGCACTCATTAAATGACAATGGTGAGGATGATGAGTAGTCCATCAATAAAAGCAGGACCAACACTAAAATAGTAATAATAGCACCTAACATGTATTAACCTATTTGATGCCCACAGGTATCTATAAAGTGGGAAAATTATATTTCCATGTTACAGACGAAGCAATGGAAGCACAGGGGTTGAGTCGCTTGCCCAGGGTCACACAGCTAGGAAGTGGCAGAGCTGAGGTTTGAACCCAGACATCCTTGTACTGGAATCTGAGCTCTTAGCCTTTACCCACTATTGCCTTACTACAAAGCATATTCAAAGTTTGCAGATTCCAGGCTGGGCATGGTGGCTCATGCCTGTAATCCCAGGACTCTGGGAGGCTAGGGTGGAAGGATTGCTTGAGGCCAGGAGTTTGAGACCAGTCTGGGCAACATGGCAAAACCCCATCTCTACCAAAAATACAAAAATTAGCCCAGCTTGGTGGTGCATGCCTGTAGTTCCAGCTACTCAGGAAGATGAGGTGGGAGGATCACTTGAACAGGGAGGTGGAGGCTGTAGTGAGCTGTGATTGCACCACTGCACTCCAGCGGGGCAACAGACTGAGACACTGTCTCAAAAAACAAACAGCCCACGAAGTCTGCAGATTCTCTCAGAAAGGAGAGGGGTCATTGTCATTTTTTGGGATAATGAAACAGAGGCTCAGAGAGAGATAGTGACTTGCCCAAGGCCACACAGCTCAGGAGAGGCAGTGCTGATTTTCTCGCCTGGTGCCTCTGACTCCAGGGCCGGAGTCTGAGTGGAAGCATCAGGGGCTCCACTCACTTGGACAGGGAGACACCACCCGGCTTGCCAATGAGGTCTTCATGGTGGAGGACAGCGTCGCTCCAGGCGATGCCAAGGAAGTCGAGGATGAGCTTGAGTGAGCGCCTGGGGTGCAGCACCAGCTGCTCGTAGTACACAGGCAGGCACTTGTCCTTGCCCACCTCCATGCACTGGGCGTACATCACCTCGATGGCCTTGTTCCACTTCGTGAGGCAGTCGCGGTAGCTGCTGAGGTCGAAGCCCGCGATGGTGACTTTGCGCGTGATCATGGAGTGCACGGAGGCTCGGCCATCCCGCACCATCAGCAGGAACTTGGAGTTGGGGAACAGGCGCGACAAGTAGACCGAGGACTTGAGCGTGAATGGGTCCTTGTTGCAGAGCACGCGGGCCGGCTCTCCGTGCTTGGCAATCACCTCCAGGATGAAGGCCTGCATGGCGGCGTCCAGCACCTCATCCGTCACCCCCGCCTCGTCCAGCCGCAGCTTCTCACGGCCAGACTTGGACCAGGCCTGGCGCATGGCCAGCACGCGCGGGATGATGCGGGTCTCCTCGCCGCAGCGCACCTCGGGGTGGGCGTCCAGCATGGCGCGCATCAACGTGGTGCCACTGCGCGGCACGCCGCCCACGAAGATGAGCGGCATGGCCTTGCTGTAGCGGTATTCCACGTGGTTGGTGCCCACCATCACCAGCTCCTCCTGCTCCGGCCGCATGGCCCCCCGGGGGCTCCGCAGGCCCGCCAGCACCGCCCGGCACTCTAGCACCTGCTGCCCCAGCTGAACAGCCAGCACCAGGACCAGGGCACAGCCAGCTGCCAGCAGCACCCTCCGCACCGACAGGCGCATGCTGGGCCGGAGGCGGGGCAGGCCCGGCCTGAGGACCCGCTTCTGGGGCTTCAGCGACAGGTTAGCTGGCAGCCCGCCAGGCTCACATCTGGGGAAAGAGGGGGACATGCATAGTCAGGGAGGTCTGTGAGCTGTGAGCTCTCCAGTAACTGCAAAGCCCTATAACTGCAAACTGCTGACATGAATGCAGAGGGCAACTTTCATAAACACTAGCTGTGTGCCTGGCACCCTACTGGGCACTTAAAAAAATTTTTTTGTTTTTTTAAAAAGACGGGGTCTCACCATGTTGCCCAGGCTGCTCTTGAACTCGTGGGCTTGGGGGATCCTCCTACCTCAGTCTCCCAAAGTGATGGGATTACTGGCATGAGCCATCCGGTCTTTTTTTTTTTTAAATGCTGGAGTGCATTGAGTGGTGAGATCATAGCTCACTGTGGCCTCAGACTCCTGGGCTCAAGCAATCCTCTGCCTCAGCCTCCCAAGTACCTGGGACTACAGGCACACACCACCACACCTGGCTAATTTTTAGAAACAGGGTCTCGCTTCAAGCAATCCTCCCACCTTGGCCTTCCAAAGTGCTGGGATTACAGGGGTGAGCCACAGTGCCCAGCCACTTTACCTATCTTAACTCATGGGATCTTCCAACAACCTTAGGAAGGGAGGTACTGTTATCAGCCCAAGGGATGCTACAGCCTGACAGCCTAAGTTCAAATCCTTCTCTCCACTTCCTAGCTGTGGGACCTTGGCAGGTTCCTTAATCTCTCAGCTGTTTCATTGGATCAACGGAGACAGTAATCATTATAATAAAATTTACTATCAAAATATATAATGTCAGATTCCAGCATGTCTGCTCCATGAGGGCAGGGAGTTTTGCTGGTTTTGTTCACTGCTGTACCCCTCAACTCTTAGCACAGTGCTCGACACCTAGTAGTTGCTCAATAAATATTTCTGGAATGAACCTTGAGAGGCTACTTGAGAGACTGAGATGGGAGGATCACTCGAGCCTGGGAAGTCAAGGCTGCAGTAAGCTATGATTGGGCCACCGCACTCCAACCTAGGCCACAGAGCAAGACCCTGTCTCAAGATGAGCAGAGCCTGAATGAGCAGAGCCTGGCACAGATTAAGTGCTATGAAATCATCATTGTAGAGAGAAGAAACTAAGGTACAGAAAAGTTGCTCGGTTGCCCAGCTGGGAAGCAGCCAAACCAGAGTCCACGGTTCAAACCCAGACCAGCCAGCTCTGCTTTAAATCACCACTCTGCCTCAATGGAAAACATTTTTCAGGAGAAAGCTGAGCATATCCTGGTCTACAATTCTTCCAGGATCATCATTCCATCATTTATTCTTCATTCACTAAAGTGCCAGGCACTGTGTTTGGTGCTGGAAACAGGACAATGGATAATACAGCCAGGACTCTGACCTCAAGGAGCTTAGGTCCTAGCAGGAGAAGCAGATAATACACAAGGTATGGACAAACCATGATAACTGTTTCAAAGAAATGAACAGGACACTGTGAGAGGAACCAAGGAGGGGAAGGAGGAAGGTAGTCAGGGGAGGCTTCCTGAAGGAGGTGGCATCCAAGCCAAGACCAGGATGAGAAGGAGCCCGCCATGCCTTTGCATGTGGGGAGGGTGTTGCAAGCAGAGAGAACAGAGAGTGCAAAGGCCCTCAGATGAGACAGAGTGTGGGGTCTTCAAGAACTTGAGGCTGAGAGTGGCGGCTCACACCTGTAATCTCAGCATTTTGGAAGGCCAAAGTGGGAAGATCACTTCAGGCCAGGAGCTTGAGACCAGCCTGGGCAACTTAGTGAGACCTTGTCTCTGTGGGCATGGTAGTGCCTGCCTGCAGTCCTGGCTGCTTGAGAGGCTGAGATGGGAGGATCACTTGAGCGTGGGAAGTCAAGGCTGCAGTGAGCTATGACTGGGCCACTGCACTCCAACCTAGGCAAGAAAGCAAGACCCTGTCTCAAAAAAAATTTAAAAAAAAAATTAAAAAAAAAAAAAAAAACGGAGAGGAGGCTGCTGGGGCTAGAGGGGGAGTGGGAAAGATGGAGTGAGGCCAGGCAGGTCCTCAGGAACAGGGGAAGGAGCTGGACTCACTCTATAGACAGCCCCTGAGGGATGAGGATGGAGATCGGGAGGCCATGCAGGAGGCTCCTGCCCGTGTCCTGGGTAGGCTCAGGGGTGCTGGACCTTTAAGGATGATTGGGGAAGGAAGGGAGAGGACAACTTAGGACAGAATGATGCTCCTGAGCCTGGGCTCCTCGCTCCTCCCAGGAGTTGCTGATAAAGAAGATCAGACTTCAGTGGTAATTTTTCAGGTAAGGGCTCATTTAAAAAAGCGAGGCCACACCCTCTGTCACATCCCTCAGTGACAGATCCGCCTTCCTTCCCAGATCACCCCCAAAATCCCCTGATTTTGCAACCTGAGCCCAATGCAGACGGTGCAGACCCTGGCCCTGGAGGGACACTCAGCCAATCTCAGATTGCCCCAGCCATTCTCTGCCTCACCCTTGCTGTGTTTCCGAAGCTTAGTTTCCCTGACTGCCCCTCTTACCTCTTTCCAGAAGCAAAGTGAGGGCTGAAGTCTCTGGTCATTCAAGGAGTCAGGTAAGCCGGGTTCAAATCCCAGCTCTGCCACTTCCTGGCTGAATGAGCCTGGGCAAGGGACTCCTCTGAGCCTCATCTAGAAAAATGGGCCTAAGAGTGTCAACCTCAAATGGCTGTTATGAGTAGTAAGCAACCCTCAATATGGAAAATATTTAAAGAGGTGCCCAGCACATAGGGAGCAATGGAAAGAATAATAGCAATTTCTTTTTTTTTTTTTTTCTGTAGAGAAAGAGTCTCACTCTGTGAACCAGGCTGGTCTCAAACTACTGGCCTCAAGTGATCCTCCCACCTCAGCCTCCCAAAATGATGGGATTACAGGCATGAGCTACCCCATCTGGCCCAAGAATATTAGTGATTTCTACCATAATCATTGGTTATCTACTTATTCCAACATGTAATGGGCACCCGCTATGTGCTGGGAGCCTCAGCCTCCCAAATCTACTCTTACTATGGACCTGTGCCTGAGAGAGACTGATGGGTTCTACCTGCCTAGGTGAGGGAAGGCCTCCCTCAGGAGGTAGCCTTCATGCAGAATTTTGAGCAGTGGGTAGGAAACAGGCAGGTGGAGAAGGGAAAGAAGGACGTTCCCAGCAAAGGAAAGGACGCAGCATGATTGGGGAACTGAGAGTGACTTAGTGAACGGAGGGTCTGGTGGAAGCCCGTGGGAAGACAGCACGCCTCTTTGGATGTGAGGTTCCACCCAAACCACCCAAGGGCCCGGTCTGCGGTTGGGCCTATCCACCTGCAAGGGCTTGGGCTGCCTGGGCCCTCTCAGGCTATAGCAGGTGGAAACTAACCATCAAAGGGGAGGGAACACAGTCTCAGGCCTGGGGTGGAAACTGCTAAGAGACTAGGACTTCCTGGCCGTGTGGCTTGGGAGAGTCACTTCCCCCATCTTAGCCACAGTCTCTTCAGCTGCAAAATCAGGGTGGATCCACTGACCTCAGAGGCTGCTATGAAAATGTGAGAAGCAGCTGACAAAGCAGAGATGGATCTCAGGCTGGGGTCACCGGCCTCTCTGTGCCTTGGTTAATTTCCCTCTCTTCAGAAAAACGTGCTGATGAAGTTCTGCTGAAGAGGTTGGGGCTTCATGTGTACCCTCGATTCAGGGTCTGCAATGGGGAAAGCTAATTCAGGGCTACTTCCTGGGGGGAGGCAGGCTGAACAGGACATGAGACCATTCAGAAATCTCTGCAATGACCCCTTCTCTTCATCAGAAGCTCAGTGAAATTCTCCCGAGACCTGTGACTAGAATTCTGTCAGTTATTAGGATTTCGGTGACAGCGCCCCCACCTTGGCTAATTTTTTTTTGTATTTTTAGTAGAGTTGGGGTTTCACCATGCTAGCCAGGTTGGTCTCGAACTCCTGACCTCAGATGATCTGCCCTCCCAAAGTGCTGGGATTACAGGTGTGAGCCAATGCACCCAGCCAGCTTCAGCATTTTATGTTCAGCAACAGTGTTTGCATTTATGGAGCATGAACTCTGCTAAAGCATTTTCCCTGCAATATCTAAGCTCAAAGCGACGAAGCAGCTTGCCCAAGGTTGCATGGCCAGAGTGGCAGTCCTTGATCAGACCAGGCCAAGGCTGAAGAAAATAGCTCAAAGCAGGCAAGTCAGAAGTGAGCAGAAGACAGCAACGACCTGCAGGACGGCTTAAAAAGAAAAAGCAGGGCGACTTGGGACGCAGAAAGCAGCCTGGAACCCACAAAGCAGAAAGTATAGCTTCCTGGTTACCCAGAGCTAGGGATCCCACTCTGGGAGGAGCTAGAGGGCCCAGCCCAGGGAACTAGGCCTGCCCAACCCCCTCATCACCCTGCTGGACCCTGGCAAGGGAGGCGTCCTGGCATCCTCTTGAGGATGATGGGTGAGGGCTTCTAACTTGGAGTACTACACTCCCAGGTTCCAATCTCGCTTCTGCCACTTGCCAGCTGGTGATCTGGACAAAAGATATCACTTCTCTGAGCTTCTACTTTCTTCTCCAAAAAAGGAATAATAATACCCTTTTCTCAAGGAAGCTACTCGGAAGGCCAGGGAACTCCTGTGGGGTGCTGAGAAAGCATACCCAAAACACTAAGGTCAGCAGAACGGGACACAAGAGGGTCTGGGTTCTGGCTATGCCTTGCATCTGCTCCGTGACACTGGGCAAGTCCCACGCCCACTTCGGGACTCAGCCTTCTCTCTCCTATCACCTGGAGAATCGTCTTCCTAAGAGACAAAGAAGATGCTCGTCTCTCTATGGTGCTTGCTGGGATGCAGCTTTTTCTAGTACCAGATTTCCAACCTGCTGGCTGAACAGAAAGGTGAAAACCAGCCGGGGGAGCTTGCCCAGGTGCCCAATCATGGAGGCTGGGGGCACGGAGGGCACTTTTGGAGGGTGATCTCAGGAGGGGCCAGGACTCCAGCGGATGTCCCTCTGGGTGTACTTACCTCCTGCGGGCACTCTCATCTCTGGGCTCCAGCTCTTGTGCCTGTGTGCCAAGGCTGTCTGCTGGCAGAGCCCTGGAGAGGCAAAGGAGACATTGCATCAGGGATGGGCACCGTGGAGAGGGGCCAAGTCCCTGGCCTCTTCAAAGAGGCAGAGTGAGGGTTTAGGATTTCAAGAACACCAGACAGTGACATTTGGGAGAACGACTCTGGAATGAAGGGGAGGCCGCTTCAGCTCAAGAGACAACAGCTGGAGTCTCAACTTACCTGCTCCTACAGGGAATGAACTGGCTCACTTCTCAGGCAGAGAGGTGTGAGGTGAAGTCTGAGCTAAGGCACTGCTGCCTTAGGGAGCCCCTGGCTTATGCCAACCAGGCCTCTCCCCTCCTCTTGGCCTAGGGACCTTGGACTCCAGGAAAAGTAAATGTAACAATAAGCAACCACCACCACGACACACCACTATTGCCACCTGACGTGGCTGGGTATGGCTGATCAGGTTGTGGACTGCACAATTCCAAATGGTACCATGTGCCCAGCCTACAATGAATATGCTGCCTCCTGGAATTGAACACAACATCCTACTATCACCACCTAATACTGACCAAATGCCTACCACGCAAATACCTGTGTCATTTAAACCCCAATAAAAGGAAAGTGTGATGATCCCAATTTTACAGATGAGAAAGCATGACACCAAGAGGAAGAGCAACTTACCCAAGGAACGGGTGAAAAGAGTTTCACCATCCAGACCTTCCTAACACTTAATCTCCCATGTTATAGGAACGAGGCTGTGTCCATGATGAGTCCTGGCATGTAGCAAGAATCAGGCCAAAGTGGAATCAAGGGGATCACTGTAGCTTTAGGGCAGGGTATATATATATCTACACACACACACACATATACACACACATATATATACACATATATACACACATATACACACATATATGTGTGTATATGTATGTGTGTGTGTATATATATATCTTACCACTTAGGGTAGAGAATACTTTTAGTCCAATTCATACCTTTCCCCATTTTACAGATGGGACAACTGAGGCCCACAAGGATAAATCACTTTACAGACTCACATACTGAGTCTGAAGCTAAACCTCCCGCCTGTCAGTCCTGTTTCAGGAGGTAGGCGTGATTTGGAATGCAGCTCTGGAGTTGGCCAACTCCTTGACTATATACGTCCCTCCTCTGGGACTTCTCCTATTCTGTAAACAGGAGGTTTTAACCAGGGTAACAACACTTTGAAATCTTAGCTTTTTAAATCTCAGCCAGGCTTCACGTGGTGGCTCATGCCTGTGATCCCAGCACTTTGGGAGGCAGAGGCAGGAGGATCGCTTGAGCCCAGGAGTTCGAGACCCAGCCTCGGCAACAGGGGGAGACCCAGTCTCTACAAAAAATAAAAAATTATCCAGGTGATGGTACACGCCTATAGCCCCAGCTACTTGGGAGGCTGAGATGGGAGGATTGCTTAAGCCCAGGAGGTCAAGGTTGCAGCGAGCTGTGATTGTGCCACTGCACTACAGTCTGGGCAACAGAGCAAGACCGTGTCTCAAAAAAAAAAAAAAAAAAAAAAAGAAAACAAACAAGCAAACAAACTCAGCTTTTATTATTTATGCCATGATGGCAATAAACAGGCTGCAGGCTGTTGACTGCATTTCTTGGTCCTCCATTCCTTCCTATTCACTCACTCCTTTTCTCCATACCATTTTCCTATTCCTGAAATATCAGGCCAATGAGGACATCTAAACCCAGATGGAAAAGGGAACCAAGGTGAAACCACAGCAACCAGATCCCCCCAGCAGGCCACCCCCAAACTACAGACACTCAAGCCCCTGCACTCCTGGAACATGGGCGGCCAATGATGTGAGACCTGCTCTCTTGGCATAAATAAAACCAATTAGGAAGCAGGCGCTTGAAGCTCTTCCAGAGGCAGGATGGCTCACCCAGCTGCCCTCAGACAGCTCTTGAAATGCCAGTGAGCCCAAGAGGCCTGCCAGCCAGGCAGCTCCCACGGCCCGTGAGCCCAGCCATCCCCCTCCAGGGAACACAGGCCCTTTCAGAGCAACGGGACAGGGCTGTCAGTCACTTGGAGCTGTGGATCCAACATGCAGCTCCCAGCCACACATAACTATTTAAACTCACCTCAGGTAACATTAAATACAATTAAGAATCCAGCTTCTCATCTGCACTAGCCACACTGCAAGTGCCCAGAAGCCACACATGACCAGTGGCTACTGTACCGGACAGCGCACATTTAGGAGGGGGCGGGTAAATGATGGCCCAATCCAACCCATGGCCTGTTTTCAAAGCACCCTTGAACTAAGAATGGTTTGTAAGTTTTATCAAGGGAAGAGGGTGAAGGGAGGAGGAAGAGGAGAGAGAGGAGGAGGAGTAACAGCAACAGAAACCACATAAACACCACAAAATTGGAAACATTTACTATCTGGACATTTATAGAAATTTGCTGACCTCTGCACAGAACATTCTCATCACTGCAGAGTGTTCTGCTGGGCAGCGCTAATTAGAGGGCAAATGAGAGGGACGGGTGGGAGTCAAAGAGCTCTCCTTTTTTTTGTTGTTGCTGTGGTGGTTCTTGTTGAGAGGGTGTCTCACTCCGTCCAGCCCAGGCTGGAGTGCAGTGGCATGATCTTGGCTCACTGCAGCCTTGACTTCCTTGGGCTCAGGCGATCCTCCCATCTCAGCCTCCCAAATATCCAGGACTACAGGTGCATGCCACCATGCCTGGCTAATATTTGTATTTTTGTGTAGAGATGGGGTCCCGCTATATTGCCCAGGCTGGTCTCAAACTCCTGAGCTCAAGCGATCCTCTTGCCTGTGCCTCTCACAGCACTGGGACTTCACGTGTGGGCCACTGCACCCAGCTCCTCCTTTTTTTGCAGGAGGAATATATTAAATACACAGCACCCCTGTGTATTTAACACCAAAGCAAGGGCTTTCCATGCCCTACCTGGTTTCATCCTCACATCAGCCCCATCAGGCAGGTGGTGCCATGTCCTCCATTTTAAGCTAAGTGGGTGCAGGGTGAACACGACTCTACCACAAAGCAAAATCACTAACAAATAGAAACCACACTTAAGAAAAAAGCCAAGAAGGAAATAAGACTCAACTGCTACCAGGTAACCAGGCATGGGGTGGTGCACGCCCGTAGTCCCAGCTACTCTGGAGGCCAAGGTGGGGGGATTGCTTGAGCCCGGGAGGTTGAGACTGCAGTGAGCTAGGATCAAGCCACTGCACTCCAGCTTGGATGACAGAGTGAGACTGCCTTAAAACAGACAAACAAACAAAAAACATTGCTACCAGGGGTGGTATTCGGGTGGTAGGTGATATTTTTCTCCTAAAAACATAACTTGATGGTGTCATCTTATTGTCTTTCCACATGATAAAATAATAAAGCGACTAGTATTTTTTGAATTGTACACCATACATGTTATGGGCCCAGACTGCTTGGGTTCAAAATCCTGCTGCACCGGCTACTGGCTGAAGGACCTTGGCAAGTTACTTAGCCTCTCTGAAACTTGGTTTTCTCATCTGTAAAATGGGGATGATAAAACAGGTCAAGTAGCCCTAACACAGAATTTCAAAATCCGAAATGCTCCAAAATCCAAAACTTGTGGAGTGCCGACATGATGCTCACAGAAAACGCTCATCAGGTGTGGGCATGGTGGTTCACACCTGTAATCCCAGCACTTTGGGAAGCCGAGGTGGGAGAATCACTTAAGCTCAGGAGTTCAAGACCAGCCTGGGCTATTAATACAGCGAGACCCCATCTTGAAAGGAAAAGGAAGGGGGGAGGGGAAAGGAAAGGAAAGGGGAAAGGGGAAAGGGGAAAAGAGAAAGGAAAGGAAAGGGGAAAGGGGAAAGGAAAGGAAAGGAAAATGAAAGAAAAGGAAAGGGAAAAGGAAAGAAAAGAAGAAAGAAAAGCAAGGAAGGAAGGAGAGAGAGGGAGAAAGAGAGAAAGATAAAGAGAGAAAGAAAGAGAAAGAGAGAAAAAGAGAAAAAGAGGAAGGAAGCAAAGAAAGGAAAGAAAATGCTCAGTAGAGTATTTTGGAGTAGGGATGCTGAACTGATCAGTATAAAGCAAATATTCCAAACTCGGAAAAAATTCAAGCTAGGTGTGGTAGCTCATGCCTGTAATCCCAGCACTTTGAGGGCTGAGGCAGGAGGATCGCTTGAGCCCAGGAGTTTGAGACCAGTCTGGGCAACAAAGTGAGACCCCATCACTACAAAAAAAACTTTTTTTTTTAATTAGCCAGGTGTGGTGGTGCTTGCCTGTAGTCCCAGCTAATTGGGACGCTGAGGCAGGAGGATTACTTGAACCCAGGAGGTCAAGGTTAAAGTGAGCCATGATCATGCCACTGCACTCCAGCCTGGGTGTCACAGGGAGACCCTGCCTCAAAAGAAAAAAAAAATTCTGAAATCCAAAACCTTTCTGGTCCCAAGCATTTCAGATAAAGGGATAGGCAACCTGTAACGCCTCCTAGAAGGGCACTTGGAAATGTGCCCCGTGCAAATGAGAAACTAGTCTTGTAGGAGTGCTGGGAAGTACAAATAAATGAGGGCATGTTGGAACAGCACCTGGCCCAGAGCAAGTGCTACCTGCCTGCTGGCTCTTGTTTTCAGCAAATCCTTGTACGGTGGGGATTTTTATCCTCATCTGAGAGGTGAAGAAATTGAAGCTCCAAGAGATGGAGTGATTAGCAGAAGCCACACAACTAGTAAGAGGAAAGGCCAGTTTCTGAATGCGGTTCTGTCTTCAAGGTGTCATCCCTAGCATGGTGTCATGCGGCTCATAAAACTGGGGCAGCAGCCAGGCACAGTGGCTCGTGTCTGTAATCCCGGCACTTTGTGAGGCCGAGGGGGCGGATCACAAGGTCAGGAGATCGAGACCATCCTGGCCAACACAGTGAAATCTCATCTGTACTAAAATACAAAAAATTAGCTGGGCATGGTGGCGCGCGGCTGTAATCCCAGCTACTCAGGAGGCTGAGGCAGGGGAATCGCTTGAACCCGGGAGGCAGAGGTTGCAGTGAGCCAAGATCGTG